CCAGTAAGAGTATTATATACTAAAAGTATTTTAAGAGTTCTGGGAAAATAACTATTATATAAAATCTCAGAAAAATACATTGGATTTTCAAAATTAACATCCAAATAAGCTTATCTTTTAATTCTGTTTTTACACGAACTTTCTGAAGTAACCTCATATAGTGGAGTTACATAAATGACATTTAGAAGCCAGGTTAAAAATCATATTTTTGAACACTGCTTGTCTTTACCAATGTCCATTGTAATGTTAAGATAATGGGTGCTTGCATGTTATCAGCTATGAGGCAGGATTTCATTAGAGTGTTTCTCACAGCATTGTTCTGTGGTGGCTTCTGGCCCAATCCAGGAGTTGATGGCCACGTTTCAGAGATCATAGTAAAGTTCACAACCAAACTGAAGGACTGAGATTGCACAGGCCCATTCTCAATTAGAACTTGAAAGATATGTAGATAGCTATAAATCAGAACTGTTACTCAAGTTTGTATCAAATTATCATGAAGTTAATAAAGGAGATGTAATTGCAAACACATTTCATGGGAAGAAAGGAAAAGTTGCAATGTTCTCAGATTTTCATATACATACACAGGTTATGTGTTTGTGTACATAAATTATGTACATACTCATATACGCATATACAAGAGTGCTACGGTTGGAAGAGGATTTGGCTCCCAAATGCATGTAGATGTTTAAGCCCCAAAGTTATGTTAGTGTTACTAACAGGATGGACGCTTAATCTAATTGTGGTGATCAGGAAGTGGATGTGGGAGGAAGTCCTCAGGCCTTGGAAGTCCGTTCTTGCCAGAGTCAGGCTCAGCTACTCTCTCTGCTTCCTGGTTGGCCGTGTGACCCTTCCTCTGCATGCCCTCCACCAAGTCCTCTTCTGCCTTTGCAATTCCCCAGCCTCACCAGAGGCTGAGCCAACGGGGCTGCCGGATCTTGGGCTGTGAACCCCCAAAACTGTGACCTGAAATTTACCTCTGTCCTGCCTGGGCAGCTTCTCCCAGGTCTTTTGTTGCAGATGAAAAGTTGAATAATACAGTGAGGAAACACAGCTCATCTCCTAATGGAGACACTTCTCTGGGATACTGTGTACAGTAGGCTTCAACTCAAAACTTCAGATAAAACCTCTCGTGTGAAAGTTTACTTTACAGAAACTGATTTGATACCCATGTTCATTCCATGTATAGGACAATATCAAAGACACATTCTACAGGTTTATCAAAACCTAATATGTCCAATGTAAAGGTTTTTATTGTTTCTAAAGTTGTAAGGCTTACTGTAGAGGAGAGAAATAATGTATTTTTCTCATCTGTTGCAAGGCTCATGGCTGTCACCTCTGTGAGGATGCTTCAAAAAGTTCATGGATTTAAAAGAAGGTTTTTTTTAGTGAAAAGAATGAAATATATAGATAGCTTTTTCATAATATTTACTTTCCATGTATCATGAAACAATATTTCTGCACCCCAGTTTTTTTCACCAAAATAAGTTCATACTTTTAATTCCATTTTCCATGATGATTTAGGAAAATTTTTATTTAACAATGACAGATTAACAAGATAAATGTCTTAAACACTTATCTCAATAAACATTTTTCTCCTGTTCATCTTAATTTGGAAAGGAAAGGAAAAGGGGCAATTTTTTTTTTACTTTCTATTCTCCATCTACAGACAGAGATGCAAAGGCAATGATGTTGATAAAATTGTACTGTTCACCAGCATTCTATCAGCTATCACACGAACTCACCAGTAGCTCCAGGGTGAGTGATGTGTCAGCCACCTCACAACCAGCATCAAAAGACAGCAGAGAAAGGGATAGGCTATTTTCCTTACTCATGGTGGAGTATCTTACAACAAAATAGATATGGACAAGAGAAAAGTGTCACAAATTTATTTAATGAGGGTCTTACATGATATGGGAGACTTCAGAAAGGAAGACTAAAGGACTCAAGGAAAACTGCATTTTTGTGGACAGTCTGGCAGAAGGGTAGGAGGACAAAAGAGCCTAATCTAATGGCAATAGCCTGAGGTGAGCTTAGCAAGGCTTGCTGGTCCAGATTCCTCTTGGCCTGTCTGTGTGTCTCTTCCCTGTGGTATGGGGCAGGACACCTGTCACATGAAGCCCTTCAGGGGAGGAGAGAGGAGAAGGTCAGGACAACCTTCTTGTCTCCAAGGTTTGCTCAGTTTCCTTTAGCTTAAAATAAGCAGTGTGCCAAGGTGCTGTATTTTGGGGTATTGTGTTCTGATTCCCAACACACCCAGTGAAGGCAGAGGCAGCAGGATGAGAAGTGTGGACAAAACAAGTCTCCCTGCAGGGAAAGAGGGATGGCAAGAATGAGAGCCTGACATGGCATAGACAGCGATTGCAGCAGCAGTGCCTTCCTGTGTTTACCCTTGTCGGCTGATGTAAATCTCCCACATAGCAAACAGTGAGATAATTAGAATCCCTTCCTAATTTCAACACACGAAGAATTTTTAGCTCACTGCTCCACAATTTATTTAGAGGTTTGGTCCTTTATTATTCATAGATATTTAACATGAGCTCATTTCATAATCATTTCAATCTTGGAATGATTGCCTGATATCAAATCACATCTTGTTAAATATGAAAATTAACCACAGTACACTTTCAAATTGCACATGGAGATATTTTTATGAAAACTGATGAAAATTTGAGGCACAGTGGATATAAGACTAATTTATATTATGGTATCTTTATTGTCTCTGCTTCCATGAAGAGAAAACCTTATGAAATGTCATTGATTTCTTTTCTTAAGGAATATTAGAAAGTATTGCAGTATTGGTTATTTGAGACCCACATTATTGTTGCTCATGCTTTTGATTTAATTAAAAGCAGTTTTTTTTCCTCTGTGTATATAACATAAAGAATGATTAGTAACAGCCAACAGCATGTTTTAGATCAGTCTATATCAGAGCTGATCAACACAGATATTCATATTTAAATCTGACAAAGCCAAACTCCTCAAATAATGAATTTTTAAATTACCTTAAAGGCTTTCACAGCCAAATCAGCCTTCCACCCTAAACAGCTTGTAGTGATTTCATCCCAGTCTAGGTAGACCAGCCGGCATTTGCTCCTGATTATGGCTGCACTTCAGTAAACATCAAATCAGAAATGTTATTCTGTCTTGAGAGTCAGTGCATTTCCACAATAGGAATTCATTGGGCCCCATGCTGGCGTTCCCCATAAAGTCACTTGTATTTACATCACAGACACAAGCCTCTTTCTTCCCTTCCTGCCACCCTCCCCCTCCGCAGGCCTAGTATATTTTCCTTAGCATTCGTGATGTTAATTGGAGTTACATGTGTGCATTCAGATCTGAATATACTTCCAGATGTGACTTTGGTGAGCAAGTTCTTTCAGACAGAGCCCCTTCATATTTCAAATGAAATTGCACTACACAAGATATCTTCAATTTAAAAAAAAATTCCAAAGGCTACAGCCATTAGCATGATTAAACACACATAAAAAATATAAAGTTACATCTATATTCTGGTGTAGGTCATCTGATTTTGATTCTTACTTTTCTCTTATTTTTTCTGCTTTAAGAATTGCAAAGATTCCAAGGATGTGATCTTAAAAAATAAATCTCAGCTATTCACTTTAAAAAGATCTAATCCTACTTGGCTTTGTAGAAAATTAAGGACAGCATAAGAAATTCTATAAGGCAAATCATCAATTCAAAATGATGCCAGCTGCATAAAACAAATTTTATTTGTGCCTTAATATTTTAGCTATTTTATAATGATAATAGATGTGATACAAAAGCAAATCACGGCTCTTGTGCACGTCCTGGAGTGCAGCTGGAGGAAGGAACGCGGCTGAGACAGGGGAAGAGGACTATGTGTGAAGAGAATGGAGGAGCAATTAAATCTCACCTCCTACAAGGTCCATGCTAAAGCACAAAATTATTTCCTTGATCATGTGGCCAAGTCTGCTTGTAATTGTGATCAGTTAAGTCATTGAGTTTTTAAGTTCTTCAACAGAATTAAATAGAAGATGAATCTCAGTAACAAAGAACTGACTTGTCTTTTTAAAAATTACATTACTATGCTATGTGGTTCAAGAAAATATTTTTCAATGTTGTCATGTTTGGTGAAAAACCATGATAAATAATATCACAGAGCAAAGCATTTCCTACTTAAAATCTAATGAGGCAACAGCACAGAGAAACATTGGTTTTGCTCAAAAAAAAAAAAAAAAAAAAGGAAGAAAATCTTTCATGAATCAGGATGCTGTCCCTCCAGCAACCCTCTGAGTTCAACCCCCAGCCGCGTGCACCAGGCTTGCTTAACTCTGTGCCTGGTTCTACTCCATTGGCCAAGGCAGGCACCTAGAGAAGTGATTTCTATCGTTATTTTGGTTTGAGATTAAATCCTTTTACAGAGCACATATTTTTGTTTTCTATTGGATTTTTATTAGCCAAGTACATTTGGATACAATTCCTATTATATATGCTTATAACAACCACTCAAGGAGAGACAGACTAAAAATTTAAGACGTTCTTGTTCTTATCTCTTTTAGACTCTTTATTCTTTCATTTCCTCATCACAACCTTGGTTTTCAATTCTCTACTTTGGGAGATACAGTAAAGAACACGCATAATTTAACTTTGAGCATTTTTGAAGCAATGTAGATTTGGTTTTCCCCAGAGCATTTTATTAAGGAAATATTCTTACAACTAAGAAACATTCAATCTGAAATACAAAAATGAAACAAACATGTGCAATGGTGTATTTTGTCATCAGGGGCTTGCTTTTGATCAATCATTCAGACTGAGACCAAAAATCCTTTAGGTCCATATCTCAATGCAAGGCTAAATCCAAGCCCCCGATATTTAACGAGGTGTCTGTTTCATTCTTATTAACAGAAATACTTTAAAAAAAGAAAGTGGTGAAACTTAATAATTTTATTAGAGCATAATAGTTATTTTATTAACGTTTTTCTCCAAGGATCTTTCCTTCTGATTATGAGCCCTTTGCAGTTTCAGACACTGTGATGGATGCCACGTTTTTATGACAAGAATTTTAACAGCTCTTCCTCAGCACTCGATGCACACCCAATTATGCGTCTGAGCTAGTAACCTTGAATTTATGTTGCCATGGTGACAAACTGGTCATGCATTATGGATTCTCACTGAAATTCTACACCCCTACCTAGCATAATGAGAGTGGGGACTTAATCAAATCAGCCATTCTGTGTGACACACAGTGAAGAACCAGCTCTCATTGTTCAGCGTGGAGAAAGGAAGCAGGCCTGCAGGGAAGCAGCTGCGGAGCCCCAGCCTGATAGATGGCCCTTACATACATTTGTGGACGTATAGACAGATGGTGCTCAGTGCCCGCAGTTTTCAGTCCAGGCAGCAGCTGTTCGGATAACCTCTGCCGTCTCACCTTGTTGTCATGGAACACTGAACAGAGCCTGAGAATGTGTATGGATACATTGACAATCTGACTGAATTTACACCGCGTGGCATCCTTCTTTTATCAGAAGGCGGCTGGGGCTGGGATGAATGGAGAGGGAGGGCAGAGGAGGTGGCCGGGGAGGGTGGGGGAGGGTGTCCCAACGCCACAGCCTGGGCTTGCAAAATCGCACACTTCTCTTTGGCCAGAAGGAAGACAGGCAGCATCAGGGTGGTAATCTTTGCCTCGGAGGAATTCAGTTTGCTGCTGTTTTCAGAGCCTAGAAGTCATAGGGAGAACTTGTCCTCGGATGCAGTTTGAGCTTCCTCCTACCCGTAGGTAACTCTCGTCTTAGCTTTCTCTCGGCTGGTCACACAGACAAAATACCAGCTGCTTGAGGTCAAAGGAGCAGGCTGGCTGTCAGGGCAGCTTCTGACCAGAGAGGAGAGGACACTGCCTTCCCGGGGCCCCTCTCTTCCCTGAATGTGGTGAGTATAAACTAGCGAGTACCAGCCATGGCGAGCTCCTGGTTGGAGGACTGTGCCCATGGATGGGCTTGTCAAAGGATCTTTCTCTCTGCTAGAAATTGCTGAATGCATGCAGTGGTTCAGATAAGCAGCTGCTTTGGGTAGAACGCCAAGCTCCAAGCCTCAGGGTCCATGCTTGTTTCTCAAGCAAGGACGGAGGACTCGGGATTGTGCTTGCGTTGCACCTGCTCCTCCTCTCACCTCCCACCCCCACCGATGCCTGATAAGGCTACGGTCATTAATGTGCTATGACATCCATTGGCAAACATTCTAGCTATTGGCTTCTTTCAGCTGATGTTTTCTATGTGCTTGGTTTTGTTAATCCTGTTCATTATTCTTCCTAGCTTTCCAACCTCAACATTTAAAACTGCCTCAGCCGTTGGACTTGGAATGCTTACCCATGTGTGAGTGGAAGGAAGCTGTTCTTACATTTTTCATGAGCCTTTGGGTGTCTTGCCCGGTGCGGCGACCTCCATGACTGCAGTGTAAGCTAAAATGTCTTATCAGTGGGACTGCTTTGACCCGATAGATTCAAACAGCTCCCCAAAAGCTATCTCACCGTCTCAGGTGAATGCCTGGCAGACTATGGGAGGCAGAGAAAGCTCCAGAGCCAGTGCTGACCCTTTCTGTGGGCCACAGGAAAGTGGCTTTGAGAAGGCTTGCAGGCAGGTCGATATTACACCTTTACAACCTTCTTGGGGTCTGTCGTTGGCATTCAGGGAATTGAATGTATAGAAAATGGACACTTTTTGGTATTTTCTAAGTGCTATTATAAGCTATTTTTCTGTATGTAGATAGAAAGACTTAATATAGATTGTATTTAAACATATAAAATGCTAATAAAATGCCACTATATTAACAAGCAAGGATAATATTTTTCATAACAAAATTAAATATCTACTTGGAACACATAGGCAAGAAATCTGCCACTGCCTGAATGTGTTTCTGAGGCTCTACCGTATGGAAAGAGGTCGGGTTTGTGCAGGGCATGCTGGTCCTTACAAACAGATGTAAAGCTGAATTCACTTGGATTTTGTATCTTTGTGCCCATGCATAAAGCAAAACCTTTCACTTACTATTATCAAAACTCTCCTACTTAATTTTCTTAGGTTTCCTGTAAAACAGCACTTAATGAGTAGTTCCATTTTTCTATAAAAGTCTCATAACAGAGCCTAATGAGAGCATCCTCCTAGATAGGAGTTGAAACTTCAAACATGCATTTTAAATTTTGATAAAATGTAGTGGAGAAAAACCTGCATTTTTTTCCATAAACATAATTTTAAATATCTACAATTAAGAATGACATTATTTTCTCTGGTCATAAAAATCTCATCTTAGCCCACAGAAGGCCATTTAAAGCAAGAATATTATTTATATTTTGTGAAATAATATCTTATTAAAAAGTTTTAGAAATTTTCAAATATGCATTAAATATATATTTAATTTACATATACATTTTCTATATAAGGAGAAATGAATTTTCAATAAATACAGAAAAAAATAGAAAGGATAAATTTATAGTAAAGCTGAGATCTATTGATTTTAACGCAGATATCACACCAATCTTTAAAATTTCAAGTGTATCAGCAAATGTGAAGCTTGAGCCATGGAAATCTGACAATTAGGATGAAAAGAGTTTCTTCACCCACCTAATATTGTTTTGTTTGACTCTGTCATTCAACTAATTCTATTAAATGGTCTAATAAAAATTAACTAAGTGTGATTTCTTTATTTATAATAACTTTAAGTTGTTTATTATTGGAAAATGTGATAAACAGATCTTTAGATAAAATATATATATTTTCTAAATTATTTATTTGAAAGGCAAAGAGACAGGGACAGATGGAGAGGGAAAGAGATATAGACAGACAGAGAGCACCTATCTGCCGGTCCACCCACCCAAACATCCCCCCTCTCTGCCAAACAGCTGAAATGCTGGGACTGAGCAAGACCAAAACCAGGAGGCATGAACTCAATCCAGGTCTCCCAAGGAAATGGCGGGGCCTAAGCACCTGAACTGGAATCAGGAGTCGGAGCCAGGTGCTCAGATGAGAAATACTAACTCCTGTTCCAAAAATACGTTTTCATTAAATATTTGCTTAATTTCCCTATTTGTGTGTGTGATTTTACTATCTTTTATGCATTAAGCCGCTTTGGCCATTGCTGCTATTCAGTTGTTTAATAGAACTCAAATATGGGGGGTAGCGCTGTGGCATAGTGGGTAAAGTCGCCGCCAGCAGTGCAGGCATCCCATATGGGGGCCAGTTGAAGTTCCAGCTGCCCTACTTCTGATCCAGCTCTCTGCTGTGGCCTAGGAAAGCAGTGGGAGCTGTCCCAAGTCCTTGGGCCCCTGCATCCATGTGGGAGACCTGGAAGAAGCTCCTGGCTCCTAGGTTCAGATTGGCACAGCTCCAGCTGTTGCAGCCATCTGGGGAATGAACCAGCAGATGGAAGACTTCTCTCTCTCTCTGCTTTTGCCTCTCTGTAACTCTGTTTTTCAAATAAATGAATATATAAATCTTAAAAAAATAAAACCTCAAGTATGTGTAATAGTGCTTTTGCATTTTCTTTATTTATATTCCTTAAAAATGTATCAGCAAATATAGAGGTTGAGAAGGGCATGGTGAGAAGAGAAAAGATTCTTAAAAGAGAACATATGAAGATATATCTTGGGTGATTTAGAATTTAGAATGGGAATTGGGAAATTTGAAAACAGGGTTCCAGAGATACACTTGGAATCTTGCTACAAGATAATAACATTGGAGAAAATTCACTCAGGACTGGCAACACATTCACCCTCTCTCAGGCACTCCAGGATTCCCTGAGCTCATTTACCAAAGTGACCGCCGTGGGGAGAGGCCTACAGCATCCGCTCACCAAAGCTCTAGCCGGAGATTTGGCAGCACTGCCATTGACTGAGTGACTGCAGGACCCTGGGATCTCAGAGCTCTCTCTTGCAGCAAGTTGCCCCTGGCATGCATTCTCTGTGTCTCCAGTATCATGTGTCCTTGCAGCCACCACATACTCTCTGTCTGTCATAACAGAGACAGCCAATTCTCATAAACGTGCCTTAGGATGCATTGGTGCAACTCTTCATGAAAACCAAGGGTGCCATCCGTCGGCCTAAGCATTGGCTGTCCTTGTAGCTGGGGCTCTTCTACTGAAAATTTTGGTAGATTTCCCAACCGTGCAATCCAAACAGCTTCCTCTCCCTTAGAGCTCCTCCAATGTTTCAGCTTTGAAGAAGGGATAGATTTGCTTCCAGTGGGGTGTGGCCCTTTAGAAGAGAAATCCACCCCATTCTCCAAGTACAGAATCTGATCTGGGTGGGAAGATGAGAGGATGAGGGTGAGTGATGAGATGACCCATGGCTTCCCAGGGTCATATCACAGCAACCTGCCTGTGGGCATCTCCTTCTCTCTTTCCCTGCTTCCTCCCAGCCTACACTGGCCCTGGGACCCCTCCTGGCCAGATCTGTTCTCAGTTCCTTGCAGTCACTTAGTTAAGATGTTTTATGAAGACACGTTTACCTGACACAGCTACACACTGAAGAGCTGGGGTCTGCCCTGAATTCACTTAGATTGAGAGGCATGACAATTGTCCTTCTTGTCACCTTTCTCCCTGCTTTCTTACTCAGTGAGAATTAATCCTCTGGTGAGAGGCAGAACTGGACCCTGAAGGGTGGGGTGGCACTTGCAATCTTGGAGGCCAGTGAGGCAGAGACATCAGGGGCTCCCGCACGGTCAAAGCTCTCCAGGAAGCTGCACTGCTTGGCAGGAGCAGCACTTTAGTGTCCCACCTGCTGTCTTGTGTGCTCACAGGCAGAATGTGGGAACAAGAAGGCTCTAGCACTTCTATCAGTTCCTTTAAAGCAGCAGAGCCCCTTCCAAGTAAAATCTCAGAACTTGAGTATCTAGACTTCAGAGATCAATCCTGGTTAGAGAAGCCATAGCTGTTTCCCCTGTCTTGCCGGGTGCCCACTATTCTGCCAATTCTTCCTCTAACGTGTTCCCTATAGCTCCTGGCATTGGATGAAAATTCCTAAAATTCAAGAATGCGATGTGAGAAAGCACAGGGATAGCAGAAGGTGCATAGGATTTGGAGATGTGCCAAAAGGCAACGGAACTTCACCAAATCCTGTGAGACCTTGGACAGTCCCTTCTGCGTCATCTCACCGTTCTGGGCTGATCTGAGTCCAGGAACTAGGAGCTTCTTTGGGTTTCCCATGAGGGTGCAGGGGTCCAAGGACTTGGGCCATCTTCTACTGCTTTCCCAGGCCACAGCAGAGAGCTGGATCAGAAGCAGAGCAGCCAGGTCTTGAACCAGTGCCCATATGAGACGCCAGACCTGCAGGCAGTGGCTTTACCTGCTATGCCACAGCACCAGTCCCTCATCCCATAACTTCTTTAATGTAATGAGTGTGATTCTGATCATTCTAGTAGAATATTTCTTTTTCTTAATTTTGAGAAATAATAGCAGGGCAACCAGAGGTTCACGACTATAAGAACTCTATAATGGACACTGTCAAGTTTTCAAAAGTGGCAGTAGAAGCTTAGCCAGGTTAGGGTTGCTGGATGAAGCCATGAGTGAGAGAGAAAATGCAGAGCCCAAACGACATCTGCTGTCAAGGCAGATATCTGCCCCTGATCTAATCAATACATTATCTAGAATGTAACAGCGGTCTCACTGTTTCCAAGGGTATAGTCCTTACATTTAGAATGTGTACTATACTATGTGCCAAAAACACACCGTCTCCCTCAAATCCCTTTATGGATAAAATTTATGAATTCATTGAATTTACCAATGAAATCATTGGGGTTCAGAAGAGACGCTTATTCAAATTCAAAACTATTTTACAGTCAAAATGATGATCAATTGTCAAATTTTTTCAAGTGTGATTGTGACTTGCTGGTTGCTTAGTGGAACTCGATTTTCTGAGGTTTCCGTTCAGAGCGATGGGGAGGAGTTCTGTCAGCCTGGGGAAATCCAGTCAGCCACAACTTCTCCTGCATCCTGCATGAGCCCCGTGCTCCGACTGCCAGCCAGCTCTCAGCTCTGCTCCTCCTGATGGCAGAGCAGCCCTAGGCACTGCGTCCCTGGCTCTTGCATGCTGATGCCCTGCCAATGCAGGAGCTTCTGCCTGTCATGAACTCAGGGGAAGTTCCTGTGATTTCCTCCACAGCTTCGTCAGTCTTGGTGCCTTTGAGGCACACTTCAGTTGACTGTGCTTTCTTTCGCAAGAACATTCTGCCAAAGCAGCGTGGCCTGTGTTGCCATTCCCTGGAGGTGGTCCCAGTTTGTTCTAGCTGTCTCTGCGGAGTGAGGAGAGCAGTTCCTTTTCCTCCCACACCATGGAACCTGCGGGACCACAGGAACTCACAAATACTGCTACATAATACAAGTCAAGACGCAAGATGAAGCACTTTTGAAATAACGGTATCAGTAGGCATTCTATAAGAGCTGTAGTAAACAACCTATTAGCAGGAATTTTACAAGAACTGTAATAGATAACTATATCAATAGGCATTGTCTAAGAGCTGATTAAATAGCTGTATCATTAGAATTCTATAAGAGCTGTATTAAATGTCTGTACCATAGGCATTCTATAGACACCCTTTTAACTACATCTGTAGATCCTCTCCTTTCAAACATCTGGAAAACCAGTCCTCCCTGCAATAAATCGTTAGCTACTAGTGCCTAACTAGATGACTTAACCACAGTGGCACAGTGAGACAGAGCAAGCTCTCTGTCTTCCCAGATGCTCCAGTGGTGTACACTCTTCTGGGGACTTCAGGAGTGCAGTTCTGACCTGCCCCTTGCTGGGCTGTCATCCATACATGGCCTGACCTGCACTTGCCTTAGCATTCTTTGAAATCATGGTATTGGGTGCATTTGGTGTTTTCTCCTCCGATAGTCCTGGAAGAGAAATGCTCTGAGCTGCAGACAGCAGGGGAGAATGACCATGAGGATCAGAAACGTTCATGCAGCTGTCAGGTTGAAGGCAGTCATGTGTTTGTTAAGCTCCGTGTGCCTGGGTGACATAACTTGTACCTGGGTGACATAACTTGTTCTCCCTAACCTAAAGCAACACTGAGAGGCCATTAAGGCTGCACATCTTTGTAGGATGGTCCCATTGTATGTGATTATTTCATCGTAAATTGCCAGCAAGAGTGCATTCATCTCTTACACATCAAATATGGCATTTGGTGAGGCTCAACAAATACAATTAAATTTCATTATAAGCTAATTAGATGAAAGCACATTTTTATTTAAAGTATACATTTTGCATTTAATTTTTTGAAGATTTATTTATCTACTTGAAATTCAGAGTGAGAGAGAGAGAGAGAGAGAGAGAGAGAGAGATCTTCTATCTTTTGGTTCACTCCCCAGATGGTTGCAATGGCTGAGGCTGGGCCAGACTGAAACCAGGAGCCAAGAGCTTCTTCCAGGTCTCCCACATGGGTGGTGGAGACCCAAGCACTTGGGCCATCTTCTGCTGTTTCTCAGGCCATTATCTGGGAGCTGAATGGGAAGTGGAGCAGCTGAGACAAGAACTGGCACACATATGAGATGCTGGCATTGCAGGTAGAGGTTTTACAGGTTATGATACCATTCTGGCCCCTCCTTTTGATTCTTTTTTAAAAAAATATTATTTATTTATTTATTTATTTATTTGAAAGTCAGAATTACAGCGAGAGAAGGGGATACATAGAGAGAGATCTTCCATATGCTGTTTCACTCCCCAAACAGCTGCAAAGTCTGGGCCTGGGCCAGGCTGAATCCAGGACACAAGAGCTTCCTCCAGGTCTTTCATGTGGGTAGCAGGGATCCAAGCATTTAAGCCAACTTCTTCTGCTTTTCCCAGGCATATTAGCAGAGAGCTGGATTCAAAGTGGAGCAGCTGGGATTCCAACCAGCATCCATATGGGATGCTGGTATCACAGGCAGTAGCTTAACCCCCTACACCACAATGCCAGTTCCTGATCCTTTTTGATTTTTACCAAGTCATATGTTGGCTAACCAGTTCTGCTTTGAAAAATGCTGGGGCTGTCTAATAGCATAGCTGCACAATGATGGTAGAAAGCAAGGAGCATAGACACCAACCAAAAGT